CATGATCTGGTATGTGAGCGCCGAGTGAATTCCGAGTGATGGTTGGACCGTGAGTATGGCTTAAGAAAGAAGGGCTGGTACCCGAGATTGGTTGAATGTGATTAAACATGTCATCACGTGCATCATGTGCATTGGGGATGGAAATAAATTGAGAAAAATCATTGAGTCTTGAATTGATACGGTTTGGTAACCGAATTGAATGGATTGGGTAATAGCAAGGAATCCATAATGCGAGCTCTATTTACTAACACCGTTAAGCGAGGGATAATTCCGCTAACCGTGTGCTACAACGAGGGAGAATTCCGTTGCGAGCGGTAGGTGATATTGAGATCACCGAGAGAAAGTAATAGAGCGATAGGTGATAACATGATCACCGAGAGATTTGGCGCACGGACTTGCATATACCTAGGGTACCCGGATTAAAATGGATGAAAATATGGGAAACACAATAGCATTGCATATCACATGCATCACCCTATTTATCGAGCTTTGGCTCATTCCGTTATTGTATTTGTGTGTTGTTCGAGCAAAGGCAAAGTTAAGTCGATCGAGAATGCTATCGGTTCTCGCTAACAAAAGGCTCATGTGTCACTCATAAAAATAGAAATATCTTTTGTGTCATTAAAAAGGGATACGGGCCTAGGTTGTAAATTTTTAGGCATTTTGAATATGTTATAAATTATAGAACTATCCGTACTAATGTTGTAAATTATATCATACGTTTCCCATGGTTTAGTTTCGTTGTGTATGATGGAGGAAGTAGGGGACTTAGTCCCAACGAGTGTGTCGCGTCGGTCACGCTTGTTAGGTAATAGGCAAGGGAGCCGGGGCGTCACACAAGTGATACAAAACGAGCTCCAAAGCTAGATCTTGGAGTAGCGAAACCGGATCTCGCAGTAGCATCAAATTATTTATAATCTAAAATCTCGGTACGACTCAATAGCATCCTTAATGATGAGGTCGTCACAAACAAGCTGGGGTGCCTATAAATTCATCATTCAATCGAGCAATCTACCGTTTCTTCCACTCGGCCTCCCATTTAGCCTTCGGTCGATTCTCCCACCGAGCCCTCCACACGGTATTAAGAGGATGATATGGGATTAGACGAGCGAGGATGAGTGATAGGACATTTAGTCACTTTGTTTTTTTTTTTTTTTTTTTTATGAAACGTGCTTTAGAATGGTATTGTTAATATTATTTTATTTTTAATATCTATATTATTACTTTTAATTGTTAATTATTAAATATAATATTAATTATTAAATCAATAATAATATTAAAAAATTAAAAAAAAACAAAAATTACGACGGAATAGTGACAAACTCATTTTTAAAATTAGTGATGGAATAGCAAAAAATAAAGTTTCGACGGATATTAGCGACGAATTTCGGTTGCTTGTTTAAAAACAAAAATAACGACGGAATAGCTACGGAAGAAATGACAAATCCCATGATGAGATTAGCGACGAACTTTTTCCAGATTAGCGACTGAAATTTACGTCGCTATAATTGCGACGAATGGATTTTTCGTCATAAAAAAATAGCGACAAACAAAATAACGACGGACTATGTTGTCGTGGTCGTTTCTTCGCTAACCACTATTAGCGATGGAATTGTGGCAATTAGCGACGAAATATTCCATCTCTAATTGTGTTTTTTTTGTAGTGTATGAAGAAGAAGAGATTGGATACCATGCTTTTTTTGACGTCCAACGAAGGCCAATAACAAAGAATATAATGGCTAAGATTATAAGTAGTATTTGTTTATAGAAATTTAGTTTCCTCCAATATTTTAATTATTTTTCTTTTTTATTATAACGACAAAAAAATCCTTAATTAGCTATCAAATCATTTGATGGCATACTTTCAAGTAATCTCAATAATATTAATTTTAATACTCTTTATTCATTCTAATAGAATGATTTTAGTCATTTTTTTTAGTATGTCCTATTTTGAAACAATAGCAGTATGAAGAAGCAAATATTTCCAAAATCAAATCATATACAAAAAAGGTCACTGTTCATCAATTTTTTGATCAAATAATCACATCAAATCAATGGGTTACATAAAATTATATAGTCATGTGACACAAGAGCATGGATTGGTCTTTGGTGCATGCATAAAATTATTTAAGGGAGTTGTTGTTTTTCCAAAAAATTTGGTAGTCAATTTATTGGTTTTGTTTGATAAGACTAAAATCGAGTTTAAAGATATTCTATAAAAACTATATCATACCATGTATGTGAATCTTTATCTCTCATAAAACATGTTGACATGATCGTTAAATCGATGCATAATCGGTATATTGATACGTATGCTAAGTATATATACATTTTTTATTTTATTTTTAATCGAGTACCTATATTTTTATTATTTATTTTTATTTAAATTTATATATTTGTATTTTCAAATATTGTCAAATGAAGGGCTTCCACTTTCTTGTGTAGGTTAAGCCAAACATCCCAATTAATGGGATTTCTACTAGAAAAGTTCTCAATTCACCTAAATTATTAAGGTAGTAAATCTTGATCAGCTACGTGATGAGAGGATTTCCAAGCCTCACCCCCTACTCATTTAGGGTCCCTCTTTTCAAGTATACACAGGAAAAAGAGAAACGTAGAATCCTAGGTATGCAAACAAGAACATGGCCCAGTAATCACGGTAAGATAAGAAAAATAAAAATTCATTTTGTTTGATGTTATAATTTTGTGATTCTAAAGTTTTAAATCACGAATAATTAAAAAAATGATTACGGTTGGTATCGTAAATCTTAGTTTATTATAATACTAAAATAACATCTACGGAATGTTCTAAAATCGTTACTTAATGACTCGTTATATATTGTAACGGCCGTTATCTAATTGGCAAAGCAATCAATTCAGCATTATGAGCATAAGAATGATCTCTTAGCCCATGAACATCTCAAATGTTTTATTTATAGTTTAAATTGATAAAAAGGAACTTCCACCTGGCTAATTGTCATCTTCCTAAAGTGATTCTCCAACATATACATCTTAACCTCTTGTTTAGGTCTCGTCTTGTTCTGAGTGAATATATATCCATTCACATTAATGCATGGATTATGCTTATCAAGAAAAAAAAATGCTAAATAAAAAATTATCAATCTTATAAATAAATCTTAACAATAAAATCATAACAGAATAATTATTCTCAAATTTTAACTCTAATCAAATATAAGAACTTTTTCTTTTTCTTTGATAAACTAATATTTCTAAAAGGTTCAACTGTCTGTTTTTCAGACATGCATTAAAAATGAGTTGGATAGGAAGAAAAACAGATTGGGTACCATGCGCTTGTTGAAGTCTAGAGAAGGCCAATGACAAATAATATAATGGCTAAATTTATAAGTAGTATTTGTTTATAGAAATTTAGTTTCCTCCAATATTTTAATTATTTTTCTTTTTTATCATAACGACAAAAAAAATCTCAATAAGCTATCAAATCCTTCGATGGCATAGTTTCGAGTAATCTTAGTAATATTAATTTTAATACCCTTTATTCATTCTAATAGAATGATTTTAGTTATTTTTTATAGTATGTCATATTTTGAAACAATAGCAGTATAAAGAAGCAAATATTTTCAAAATCAAATCATATACCAAAAAGGTCCCTGTTCATCAATTTTTTGGTCAAATAGTCACATCAAATCAATGGGTTACATAAAATTATATAGTCATGTTACACGAGCTAGCATGGATGGTTCGTTGGTGCATGACTAAAATTATTTAAAGTAGGTTTTGTTTTTTTTCAAATAGTTTAATGGTCGATTTATTGGTTTTGTTTGAGAAGACTAAAATCAAGTATAGAGATATTCTACAAAAACTATATAATGCCATATACCCAAATATTTATCACTCATAAAATATGTTGACATAACAGTTAAATTGATGCATATATCCAAATATTTATCACTCATAAATCATGTTAACAAAACTGTTAAATTGATGCATAATCGATATATTGATATGTAAGCTAAGTATATATATAATTTTTATTTTATTTTTAATCAAGTAGTTGCACTTTTATTTTTTATTTTTATTTAAATTTATATATTTGTCCTTTCACAATATCGTCAAATGAAAGGCTTCCACTTTCTTGTATGGATTAAGCCAAACATCCCAATTAATGGGATTTCTGCTAGAAAAGTTCTCAATTCATCTAAATTATTAAATTATTACTTAATAAATCTTGATCACCTGCTATGTGATGAGAGGATTTTCATGCCTCACCCCCTACTCATATGGGGGTCCCAAGTATACACAGGAAAAACAAAAATAAAGAATCCTAGATATACAAACTAGAACATGGTCCAGTAATCATGGTATAATAGGAAAAAATGAAAATTCATTTTGTTTGATGTTATAATTTTGTGATTCTAAAGTTTTGAATCATGGCCGGTTGAAAAAATAATCATAGTGATCATAACGAATCATAACTTATTATAATATTAAAATAATAATAACGAAATGTTTTAAAATTATTATATGACAACTGTTATATAATTTAAAGATGGTTATCTAATTGACAAAAAAATTAATTAAGCATGATGAGCATAAGAAGGATCTCTTTCAAATGTTTTATTTCTAGTTTAAATTAATAAAAAAGAACTTCCACCTAGCTAATTGTCATGTTTTCAATGTCATACATATTTGCGTTAAAGTGAAGTGATTCTCCAACATATCGCTTCTGTTTGACAATCATTAATCTCTTGTCTGGGTCTCCTCTTGTTCTGACTGAATATATATCCATTGGATTATGCTTATCTAGGAAAAAAAAGTGCAAAAAAAAATAAAAAAAAATTACGAACTTATAAGTAAATCTTAACAATAAAATCATAACAGAATTATTCTCAAATTTTAAGTCTAATCAAATCTTATCCTTATTCTAGGTAAATCTTGCACGCCTATATATTACCATCCTTTTATATTTACTCAGTCACAATTCTTTCTTTATTCTAATAACCTGTAGTGATTTACCTACAATGAGTAAGGTTATTTTTTCTTGTTTTATTTTTCTAATTCTTTTCTTTTCCGCAAAGGATGTGAAAGCATCGAAGAATCAAAACATTGAAATTTATGAATTGAGGAAGGGTGATTTCTCGATTAAGCTCACTAATTATGGTGCAACTGTGGTTTCTGTTATCCTTCCAGATAAAAATGGTTTGCTTCTTTTCCTATTTTTTTATCCCTTGTTTCGTTTTTTATTTCAATAACACAATAATTAATTAATTATTAGAGCTGGTTGTCAGTAATATTGTTTTTTTTTTTTTTTTTGCAGGAAAATTAGACGATGTTGTTCTTGGGTTTGATTCAGTTGATGACTACAAGGTACAACTCATTAATTTCTTCTACTTTCCCAGGTTTTCTAGGGTTTATATATATAACATGGGACAAGCCAGTCTTCGATTTTTTTTACTCCATATTTGTTATTCATATTATTTTTTATTATAAGATTTTTACTATATATATTGATTAGATTTATTTATTTATTATTATTATTATTGGTTATTGCAGAATGATACCACATACTTTGGAGCTATTGTTGGACGTGTTGCTAATAGAATTGGAAGAGCTCAATTTGCTTTGAATGGAACTGTTTATAAGTTGGTCCCTAATGATGGAAGGAACATGCTACATGGTAAATATATATTAATTCATTGTTTAATATTGAGAAATTGTTCATTGTCTCTGAATCATTTCAGAGAATAAATTGTTAATAGATTCTTCTGTTTTTCTGTTTTTCAGGTGGCCCTGAAGGTTTTAGTGAGGTTGTTTGGGATGTAGATAGTCATGATGATGACCACATAACATTCACCTATAACAGCTTTGATGGAGAGGAAGGTAACGTTTCTTAATCATCTACTAATTAGAGTTTATTCAATTGGTTTAAAGAATTAAATTATTGGAATTCTGAATTAGTGAATTAAATTAAGGCTGTGTGCAACCTGAACTTGTATTAGAGTTTCGCAATCGCAAGACTGCTATTAGTGTTTTTTGCATCAGCAAAACTACTTAACTTGCGTTAGTATTTGTTTTTTTGTTATTAGTATTAGTATTAGTATTTTTTGCTGCGCGTTGCTACTTAACTTGTATTAGTTTGTAGATAGTGTTTAGAAGTGGCAGTGTTCTGCAGTTAGAATTCTGTCTCATATCAGTAGCTATAATATTTGCAAGCTCTACTTAACTTGTATTAACTTGTATTAGTGTTAGTGTTAGTGTTTACCACTAAACTTGTATTAGTTTGTACTTGTATTCTTGTATTAGCATTAGTGTTTTTTGCTGTGCGTTACTTAACTTATATTAGCTTCTACTTGTATTAGTTGGCAGTGTTCTGTAGCTAGAATTCCGTCTCATTTGAATCTATAGCTATAATATTTGCATTGATTTATTGATTGCGGAATTTCTTTTCTGCTTGTATTAGTATTAGTGTTTTTCGCGTGCACTACTTAACTTGTATTAGTAATTGTATTAGTATTAGTGCACGTTACTACGTAACTTGTATTAGTTTGTATTAGTTCTGCAGCTGGAATTCTGTTATTTGCATTGATTTATTGATTGTGGAATTTCTTTTCTGTAGGTTTTCCTGGTGATGTTTCTGTGTCTGTGACATACATGATACTTAAAACAAACAAGCTAGCAGTGAAAATGTGGGCTAAGCCTCTAAACAAGCCTACCCCATTGAACTTGGCTCTGCATGCTTACTGGAATCTTGGTGGTCACAACAGTGGTGACATCCTTTCTCATACTATCCAACTTTTTGGATCCAAAGTGACTCCAGTCGATGAAGAACTCATTCCGACCGGAGAAATCGTCAACGTCAAGGATACGCCTTATGATTTCCACCAAGCCCGGGAGATAGGGAGCATGTTGAATGAATTGCCTGATGGATATGACATCAATTATGTGTTAGATGACTTGAACCCTGGACACTTTAAGAAGGTTGCTGTTGTGCAAGAAAGCGTATCTGGGAGGAAGCTGGAGCTGTGGACTAATCAGCCTGGAGTGCAGTTTTATACAAGTAACATGCTGGACAATGTCAAGGGGAAAGGTGGATTTGTTTATGCTAAGCATGCTGGTATTTGCTTAGAGACTCAAGGATTTCCTGACGCGGTCAATCACCCGAATTTCCCTTCCCAGATTGTTAATCCTGGAGAGATTTATCAGAACATTATGATTTATAGGTTCACTGCACATTAGATTTTTTCAGGCAATTCTTCTAGGTTCATTGGATTTTTTTATGTTTTAGTCAATTTATTTTTCCTTTTGAACCTTTCAATTCTAAGTTCTATTTCCTTCCCAGACAATCTAGTTATTTTTCAAATCTGGGTTTCGAAATATGCAGGAATTTAGTTACTTTTCTCTTGCATTAACTTCATATTTACATCTTGATGATTCTCAAAACTAGAACTAATTAACACCGCCTAATCAAGAAAATTCCTAGAGCACCAAGAGAAAATTAAGCTTCTATTTGTTTCCCTTGTGGGTATCTGACCCTGAAAACATGCTCTTCACCAGTACATTTATCTACCTTAACAATCCAATGGCTCCTCTTTCCATAACCACAGCCATCATCAATCTTTGCATTGGCAGCAATTCTGGTCACCAGCAATCCTCCTCCAATAGGCAGCAACTGTGTTTTAGACCCACCGGACCGCCACGATCCCTTGCTAAATGCGTTATATCCCACAACAACAGCTCCATTTCTTTTCCTGCCAGCTTGTACTGCTCCAAGAACACCTTCATGGTTTTCAAGGTTACAATCAATAAGCACAAAATCTGCTTCACTATAGTTCGTTAATAGCAGACTTTGAGCTTCTCCAATAACAAACTCAACGTGACAGGCATCACAGCCTAGGAATTTTTTAGATAGTTGTAATTCTTGATGACCAGGAAGGACGCAAACCACACGGCCGCCGGTTTGATGAGCTGCAGCCACCAGGGCTAATGTGGTGGTGGTGGCTACATCGGCACATGCTACAACCATAAGCTGCGCATTGTTACCAGCAGCTAATGCTGAAATGAATTCAGCTACATCTGGCTCTTTTGCCTTTTGGCCCTGCATCAATTCAAAATCCCAGTTAGCAAATATTGCTAGAAATATTGCTAAAGATCATGAAGTTGAATTACACATGAACTTACCATTCTCAAAGTTTTGAGGTAGGCATTAGTAGCATTCTCAGCAGACCAGTAACCCATGTTTTTTTTTTTTCTCTTTTGATTCAAATTTTTGGATAGGAGTAGAGGTTTTCTCAAGCTAAATTCTGTTGTGTTGATGATGTCTAGGTCGAGAGAGATGGGCCTATATATATAGGACAATCGAGGAAGGTTGGTCAAGGGACTGTCAATCCAACCGGTTAAGTTAAAAATACTACAAAAACAAAAGGACGCATCAATTAAGATAAGCTCCAATAATTTCTGACACAAAATTATGGGAATCTTTTCATTGCTCCCAAACTTGTAGCAATCCAAATTACCATTCCCATATCCCATAATTGCAATTTATAATCTTGCCTGTTGTGTGATTATTAAACTTACAATAAAAAAACAACGTAATGATTTGTCTAAAACTCCATTATAAAAGATTTAATCTTCATAATTTGAAAATAACTATTATTAATCAAGATGCACGAAAGTTGACTCAAAAAAACCTTTACTATTAAAAAAAAATAAACGATAATGGTTGTCAAAATTATGAAAGAATAACAATATAGGTGACCTTCTCCGACACCGTCTTTGAAATAATTTAAGCTATTAGTAGATGGTTGTTCCATTTTTAATAAGGTATAGCTTGATCTTGCAGGCTCTATGTATCAATAAATTGCAAGGATTAATTCATTGATTAGCTGTTATGTCCTCTAATACAGTGACATTATTATCAATTTTCAAAAGAATAATTAGAAATTTGCGGCAATATATGTATTAGGTCTAGTTGAAGTTTTTTAGACACAAATCCAACAAGACACCCATCTTAGACCTGGAAGCAAGCAAACAAATTTGTAATTATTAATGAAAATCTAATTTGTTTATTTATTTTTAGATTAATTGTCAGAATATGGAACAAAACAATGTGCAGTTTGCTGATAGTCCTCTTCTGTACGGGCTGTTGAAGGACTTTAAAATCTATAAATTGTAGGATTAGAACAATAAAAAATCTCAACCCAACAAGCATGACTAAATTAACAGCAAGATGGACAAAACAATTTAGAAGAAAGAACAAATATGGCCCCTAAACTGTTAACTCATTCTTAATCGAGTCCTCTGACAAAGCATTTGTTTTCCGATCGAGTCCCCATTTAATCATATCTTACCTAATTAAACTCCTTCCATTCGATTAATTGTGATCCTAAATTTAGTTGGACAACTTAATCGAGAATGAAGTAATAGTTAGAAGACATATCAATCCTTTTCCCCAGACAATATATAGTTGAACAAAGGGTTTTACACATATCAAGACGACTCCGTATAATTAAAATTTTTTTATTGAAATCCTAAGTATTTTTTCTATCTAATTTAAGAATTTTATTCTTATATTATTGTTTCAAACACTAATGTGTCATATAAGCACACATGATATGATTTGACCAATGACAGTTTGTCACGTGTCATGTTAGACTCAAATTGAGTGGTTGAATTGGTAACGTAACAAGTTATTATTGGCTAAAGCTCACCAAGTGTGCTTACATAACATATTAAGGTCCGAATCAACAATAATATAAAAACAAAAATCTTAAATTAGACAAAAAAAACTTAGGGTCTCAATCGATATGCACAAAACTAGTTAAACAAACAAATATCTTATGTTCTTCATGATTTGAACCAATCACTCTTACATGCAACATCTTTTGAATTTTGAGGGCCTACAATGTCTGTTCATGGCAACCTTTGTCTCATGACAATACCAGCAATCACCTTCGTAGGTGGTAATTAATCTTTGATGCTTAATTACGTTAATTTTCAATAATAAAGATGTCTTGAATTGCTGGCTATGAACATGATCATAATTTTTTTTTAAAAAAAAAAAAAAAAAAAAAGGCCAGCTACAATGTAAGAGGTCCAATTTTTGCCCCCTAAAAGCAAAACAGAGATCTAGATCCAAATCAAGCTGCTTCCTTCCCAAACACAGAGATAATAAATTAATCCCCACTTACAAAATTTTATGTCTTTTGGTCTCCATGAGGTTCCCTTTGTCTGATTCTCCAAGGGAGATGGTGCAATTTTGTGTAGTTATGGTTTGGCCAACATGATATTGTTCTTTGAAAATATTTTCTAAAACATTAATCAATTTGTTGGCTTGGTTGCAATTAGATTCCATCAAATTAACAATTGGAGAAAAAAATTAGAGAACGTGGGGGTCAGAATTTGTTGAGAAATGGGGAGGATTATAATTAATATAAACATATAGTGGGCTGAAAGATTCTGCTTAATTGGTAATGCATCCTTGGAAGGCAACATCTATGCATGGGTCAACTTTCGTTTATATATATATATATATATAGTAAATTATAAATCAGTCTCTTTATTTTTTAGAAATAAGTTAATTAGGCTCCATTGTTTGAAAAACTAATTATTTAGCTCATTCATCAACGTTGACTATACTTAATTCGATTTGATTTTATGTCATAAATTATCATATTTTCTCATCAATTTTTCAATACCGTTTGCTTTTTTTCTTTTTTTTTTAAATGAAAATAAATAAATAATGAGAAAAAAGACTAAGCTACAAGGAAATTAAAAATATAAAGACTAAATAATTAGTTTTTGAAATAAATGAACTAATTAATTTGTTTCTTAAAACAAAAAGGACTAATTTATAATTTAGTAAAAAAGAATTTATATTGCTATTTATAATTAAAAAAGAAGAAGAAGAAGCTGTAGAGTCATTTTATTTGGGTGTCTATGTGTACGTGTGTATTTATGCATGGAGATGTACGTATATGCGTTGGCAATAGGCTTTGTTCACATGATCATGCTCTTCGTCTGCTCCTTAATCATCATCTTTACATGATTATGGAATAATAACAGATTAAAATTTTTGAGAAGATACAGATTAATTTCTTAAGCATTTTTTAGCATAGATCCATGCATTTGGATTATTGGGTAGGAGCTTTCGCACATGTTTGTGTCCTTTCGTACACATTCTGTACTTCATTCATTCAGCACGTGCATGTGGGCAAATATGCTCTTCGAAAATTAAGCAATTTCCCAAGTTTGATTATAATCTGTGATTTTGAATAAGAATTTTCACTTTTAGGTGAATCTTTGGAATCTTAAACTAAATTGCATAAACTAAATTGTTCTGTGCAAGGCTCCATGCATGTATGGGGCAAATGACATTAATTAATTAATTTCCTCTTGCTTTGCAAAGCAAATTTAGGTGCAGATGTTCAGAGATTACGAATAAGAATTTAAGTTTTTGATGAATCTATCACAAACAAAAAGCTGCAATAAAATCCTCAAAAAATTGCTTGTAGTTTCTTTTTAATAATAATAATAATAAAAAAAAAACCATTGTCTTAAACAAAAAAATATGAGTGTGTGTGGGCTGCTAAATTTGCCAACCAAATTATTGTTCTCCATATTTTTTAAAAAATAATTATCAATATATCATCAATTAATATTTATTATATAATAGTTATTGGTAATTAGTGAAGAGTAAATTAGTAATTATCTTTAAAATGGATGGAATAACAATTTTTCAATAAACTAATTAATTAATTCTTTTTGTTTGATAGTTTCTTAACCGAGTGTTAACTACAATTTAATATTATTTTATTTTATAAAATGTCATATTTTTTACTTTTTTTCTGTTTTTTAAATAAAAATTAATGAAAAAAATAATTAAGTTACAAGAAAATTTAAAAATATTGAGTTTGAATAATTATTTTTGAAATAAAATAAAATAATTAATTTATTTATCGAAACTAAAGGGACTAATTTATAATTTACTCATATATTCCTGCTTTGTTTTCATATACAGGTAATAAGAGACACTTTTAAAGCCCAATCTATTCTTGTCAGCCCAATAAAATCATTTCGTGGACATGCCATAGTAAATGGTCCAAATTGGTTTTGCCGTCTTGGCTCAGAGATATAGCGTAAGCTCGTTAACCATATTGTCGCGGGTTCGATTCGAATAGGAGGTTTTTGTTTACCTTGTGATATTTTTTCAACCTCTTGGAGCTTTTTTTTTAAAGGATAAAATTAAACTAGAATTCTATTCGCAATTCTATCGTTTCACGGCCATCAGATATTCCATCTGTTTCCCTAATTTTTTTTACTTAAATTGTAAGCCAGATCATAAATATAATAAAAAGACATATCTGATGATTTCCAGTAAAATAACTTGGCTATTAGGGTATTCTCCTTAAAACCAACTCATTAGAAAAATAAAATTTTCATTTTTGGAGTGGATAATTTATTTTTGATTAAAGAAGAAAAAAACAGCAATATAGAAGAATTAAATTTAGTATCAGTTTTGTAAAAACTGGCTTAAAAACCAGCTATAAAAAATTTGTTTATATAGAGTTGGATTTTCATATTGAAGATTACTGCATGATTATGAACATTTTCACATGCATATTAATCATGTTAATACTGTTTGCACTTTGATTGCCTACCACAAAATGCATGTTCTTTATTTTCTAATCATCAAAGGGCAGAACAGAGAAACAACATTTCCTCCAAAGGTAACTGTAGAACAAATTTGCAACATCCTTCTCATGTACAGAAAGAAATGTATTGCAGTGTGATGATGATGCTGAAAAGATTGTTAAACACAAAATATCACCCCAACTTATATATCATCCTATTTACAAAAACCATAATTTACTAAGTTGAATTCAAATCCAAAGAAACGTGGTCTGGAAGATGCGCAATGAATGAGTTCACTGCTCATCAAGTTGAGCAGAGGATGCCTCCATCAGGCCATTGCGAATCTGGTCGCCAATATCTCTCACATGACCAGGGCCATGAGGAATAAAAACAGTTGTGTTCTTCGATGAGTTGCCGAGGTCTTTGATGGTGTCGAAGTACTGGGTGATCATGATGAGGTCCATCACCTCCTTAGCTGATGTGCCCGTCACCTTGTGTGAGAACTCCAGTATGTTCTCTCTCAAACCATCGGTGATTGCCTGCCTCTGCCTGGCCACGCCGACCCCACCAAGGTACTTGGCTTCAGCTTCAGCTTCTGCTTTTTTGACCTGGAATATCTTTTCAGCTTCACCTTTGTATACACTAGCAAGCTGAAGTCGTTGAGCTGCAATACAGAATTGATATGCGATAGTTATTTGCATATGAGTTGACCATAATTAAATGCCATCAACAGCAAGCAAGCAAGCAATTGACTCCTATCGGATTCATGGAACTGAATCACTGATGGCTTGCCCAAAATCAAACATCACCAGAAAATTTAGATTTTAAGGAAATTAACAAGAAAGAAACTTTGCAAGTGTTGACGTTTAGTAAAACCATTACTTCATATAATGACAAGTTTCATACATAGAGATAATGAGATTCTTAAACTGAAACACAATAATCTGGATGTTGTTAGAAAGCTAGCAAGAATACAGACCATCTGGTTACATGGTCATAAGTTTTTTTAATTAAAAAAAGATCACAATGGATAATGTTAATGGAACATTCTGTTAAAGTTGGTATATTACATCTTGCAAACTCTCAATGCTGAAAGTTGAGTAGGCAACTAATTTTAGTTTCTTTTTTTTTCCCCCTAACTCACACACCCAAGGCTCGTAGCAGAACTAGTCTGCTAGGATTTGAACCCGTGACCTCTTGTTGCAAAGACCACTACCACTGGACTACAAGCTCTTTGGTTTTTAATTTCATGTCCTTCCAAAGTTCATGTGATATCCAAGAAATTAAAATGATCAGCCATATCTTTCATGTGACATCCAAGAAATTAAAATGAGTGTCTTTTATGCAGTAAAACATGTGAGAATGTGTAGAAGGTGAGTACCTGCATTGATCTCGTTCATTGCCTTGCGTACAGTATCATCAGGTATGATGTCAACCATCAGAATGTGCTCGATGCTGTAGCCATAGGCTCCCATCACCTGATCCATTACGTCAACACAAGATCAGAACAATGACAAAGACATAACTTTGGCAATGCTAGAAAAAAAGCTTATCTAACAAAACATAGAATCATATACCAGGAAGAGTGCATCCGCATAATTCAAAGAACCACTACTAAAACCTCATAAAAGCATGGGATTTGACATAAGTAAAAATCCAATTACCTTCTCCAATTCCTCCAAAACAGCTTTGGCAACCTCACCCTTCTGCTCAAAAAGCTCATCCAATGCCATTCTTGGAACGAGAGCTCGAACCACTTTAAAAACAAAAGATATGCCACAATGAAACGAGGTAAAAACTAAAAAATCAAAAAAGAAACAGCAATATTGAGATATTATGGAATAATACAAATCTATATCCCATGTTACAATAATGAATTACCATCAAACACATAAGCCTGAATCTGCTCCTTGGGATTTGCCAACTCATAGAATGCATCATCAGCATTTTCCTTGACTACTCGGTACTGAATCGAGCAAACCAATTGCACAAAGACATTATCCTACAGAGAAGGGTTAAAAAATCACACTTTAAAACATTAACAAGTGTAAACAATGTCAACAAAAAAAATAAGACAACATAAAACCATGTAAACCCCCTTTCTCTAATAGAGAAACAAAAATCTGAACCCAAAACAAATCATCAGAGGACAACATTCACAATCAAAACAACACAAAAGCCTCAAAACTCAACTTCTGATCTCTTTTAACTTTATCCCTACTAGCTTTCATCACCAACCAAACGTGATCACAAGCAAAACAATGCCATATATTCAATAATTTGATCACATTAAACACATTGAAGAACAGATCAGAGCCATTATAAACAAGCTATCATGTACTCAAAGTCTCAAATGTTGAACCCGTTGAAAAATACTAAATACTAACCCTAAAAAACCTCCTAAACTCTCTATGAAACACAAAATCCAAGAAACACAAATTCAAACAAAACCCATAAATTCTGCAATCCTTAATCACCAAAAAAGCCAATATATACTAAACCCTAAAACCCCTTAAATCCTACACAAAACCCACAAATCCTACATTCCCTAATCACCAAGAAACCCCACAAAATGAAACATAATCAAGAATTAATAAGAAAAAAACCTTGGTTTTGGTTTCAATGCGAACATCAAGAGAGTGGATTCTGGTAGACATAACACCGGCCAAACATTGACCAGTAAAGCAGTTAAAGAAGTGGAAACCTGGCGGAGCCAATCGCTCAAAACGACCCCACCTTTCAATAACACCAACGCTTGCTTGGTCTATGCATCCACATAAAAAGCAGCATGTATTTCCCATGTTTTTTTGCTTGATTTTTGATCGATAAGATCTTTTGTGCGTCTTTGTTTTTGATAAGAGAGAGACTATCGAGAAAAAGAAATGACGGAGTTCTCCGTTATTTATAGACAACGGTGAGAGACCCTGACTTCCTCTTTGGTTTTGGTGGATTCTTCTTTTCTCTCTCTTTTTTTGTTTTCTTCTACTTATGAATATTGTATTTTTGCTAATTATTTTCTTCTAATTATTTGCTAAGTACAGTTAGATAATTAACTAAAAAACTAAAGAAGAATCATATGTTACTCCGGCGTTACTATTTGAAATACTGTACACGCTCTCACAATCTACTATTTAACCTCTCACATTTCACTATACGTTTCACTATTCATAGCCTTTTTCTTACACTTTAGTCTTTGATATTTTCGAAAGCATATTTCGATCCACATGTTTATTTGCTCATCCATTTTGGCCCCTAAGTGGAGAGAGAAGGCTGAGAGAAAGAGAGAGATGGAACGAGAGAGAGATCGTCGACTAACCTTATTTAGGCCACTCTAGGAGGCAAAAATCTACTAGATTTGTTTATTTTTTATAGATGAGTTTGGTTATGGTAGTTTCAAGCCATTAAACAATTAGATGAGGTAAATCGAAGCCAAAAAAAGAAAAAAATTCGATTTGATTTTGTATTTTTCTTTGTTTTTGTATGTATTAAAATAATTTTTAAGGTTTTAGATGTATTTATTAGCTTTATTCCGATCATTTAGAGGTGTTTGGGAAAAAAAATGATGTTAGAATTCAATTTCTAAGGGTCCGAAAGTTGACCCTCGATTTTTTGGCGAACTTCCGATGAAATCGGGTTGGCCAAAAGTTTTAGGGTTTTTTTTTCTTTTTTGGCGAGGCCCAAGCCCGCTTGCCTCGCCTACACATGCCAACCACGTTGGGCTCCCTCATTTTTTTTTGTATTATGTGCGGCTTAGTTGCACAAGCCAACCAGTGCTTGTCCTAGTTGGCTTGCAACCAAGCGCTTCTCCCTCCCTTTATATATATATAAATTTTTTTTTTACTTTTTAAATGAGTTTTTAGTTTTTTTAACATATATATATATATATATATATATATATATATATGAGAGAGAGAGAGAGAGAGAGAGAGAGTATATATCTAATTATATTAATTTTATTGTGATTTAGCCCATTTGTTTTAATATTTTTATTACTTTAAATCTATAACTTTAATTTGTCATTTTTTTTTCAAATTCTCATCCAATTAATTTAAAATTATATTTTATGATAGTTTTTATTTATTTTAATATTATTCATTCTTTTCTCATCCAATTAATTTAAAATTATATGGCCTTCAATTTTTTTATACAATACTTTTTTTTTATTTCAAACCTCAATTGTATTGTAATTTGATCTTTTTTTTTAGTGTTTTTTTATTATTTAAAATTTACTACTTTAATTTGTCATTTTTAAAAAATTCTCGTCCATTTAATTTCAAATTACATTAAAAAATTTAAAATATTTTTTCACATTTGATTTCAAATATTTTTATACATTCACATCATAAAACGGACTATCAAATTAAAATAATTTTTTTAAATAATTTTATATATTTTATCCTACTCGCAGCGTAGCGCAGGCGGAAAATCTAGTATCAAACTAGATTTAAATTATTGGACTTAATAAAATAAAGAAAAGATTTATTAAATTCAAATTTGAAGGTTAAAAAAATCACGAATTACCTAATTTTGTTATGAATAATAGTCGTCTCAAACCAAATAAATAACGTAAATTTAGTTTAAGTTGGTAAAAAATATCATTTAAACATCAAAAGCAATAAAAATCTAGCAAAGCAAGGACACAAAGTGATAAATATTGAGAAGCGAGAAATAGGAGAAAGAAATAATAAAAAAAAAACTAAATATGAATGTATTATGAAATAATGAATGTTCATTTACTTTTCATATCCCTATTGTTCATGATTCTTAATGTGATTCAATTCATCATTCAATATGAGAAATTGAAAAGGTGATGCAATTGATTCACAATTTATGTACTTTTAATTATTCATAGTCGCTTCGAATTCTCTCCTCAATTTTGAAGCCTATAAATAGGTTCGATTGTTTATTAGTTGATGTACAAGTTTTCTAGAGAGATTAAGAGAAACTTTAAAATTCTTATCACTTATATTCATATTATAGTAAATTCATTTTCTTGTCATCATTTTCTTCAATTCTCCTATTATTCATTTTTTCTTTTATAATACGTTATCGGCACGATTGTTCTACCAAACGACGTAAATCATATAAGCTATTAAAAGGTATTTACCTAATTTATCTTTTACTTTAAATCTAATGATACATATAGTATATATTTGAAAAACTTGAATAATCTAATATATATATTCTAATAATCTAATGCATGTTGTTTTGAGAAGTTTGAATATTATCATTATGTTTGTTTTAATTTTCTAACATTATCATTATATCTTATATTATAGAATTTTTATCATGTCAAACCTTACAAAGCTTGATTTTATGGCCCTTGACATTTCGGATAAGAATTATTTATCATCGGTGTTTGATGCTTGAGATACATTTAAATGCTAATAGTCTTGGATAAACAATCATGGATGATAACCTAGAATCCTTGCAAAACCGTGCTAAGGCAATGATCTACCTTCATTATCATCTCCATGAGGATTTGAAAACTAAATACTTCATAGTAAAAGATCCACTTGAGCTGTGAAAAAATTTAGAGGAAAGCTACAACCACCAAAAGAAGATAATTCTTCCAAAAGCTCATTATGATTGGATGCACTTAAGGTTACAAGATTTTAAAATAGTAAGTGAGTATAATTCTGCAGTATTTAGAATCGGTTCCCAACTAAAATTGTGTGGAGAAAATATTACCGATTCGGATAGGTTAAAGAAAACATTCTCTACTTTTCATGTCTTGAATATGCTCCTACAACGACGAATATCAAGAAAAAGGTTTTAAGAAATACTCTAAATTGATTTCATACCTATTTGTGGCTGAACAAAATAACGAGGTACTAATGAAAAATCATGAATCTCGTCCAATCGGGTCTACTCCATTCCTTGAAGTGAATGTGACATCTTATAATAATTTTGGACATGGACAAGGGCATAGTCATGGCTATGGACATGGACATGGTCATGGCAATAGTCGTGATTGAAATAATTATTGTTATAATCATGATGGTAATAATAATACACCTCACCATCAAAAGTGGATAAATTATGAAAAGAAACAATAAAAGAATAAAAGTGGATCAAATCATCATTCCGAAAATGAATGTTTTGGATGTGGTATGAAGGGACATTAGTCGTGTACTCGTCATACGTCGAAGCACCTAGCCGAGCTTTATCAAACCTCGTTGAAAAAGAAAGAAAGTGATATAGAGGTAAATTTTATCTACCAAAATAATACTTGTGACAATGTTCCTCTTGAAGGTTTCGGTAACTTGACACATTTAGATGTTCGCTGATTTCTTTAAAGATTCCGAAAGAAAAAATCATTAGGTTAATAATGATAATTGAAATTTTGTTACCTTTTCTATTGATAAATAAAGAATTTTTATTTTTTTATTTATAATTTCATCATGATAGAACCAATTTTTATTTATTTGTTTATTTTTGTATCTATGAAGAATATATTGATATTACCAAGATTGCAATTAGTTTTAACGTTATAGAGGAGAATCTATACCTTGTGGATAGTGGAACAACACATATTATACTTAAAAACAAAAGGTATTTCTCATATTTAATGATGGGCAAGGCTAATGCTAATGCTATATTTGGTAGTATTAATTTAATTGATGGCTCCGGAAGAGTAAAATATATTACTATCCGGAGGGACAAATTTGATTATAAATGATGCATTATTCTCTCCTAAGTCTCATAGAAATTTGTTAAGTTTTAAAGATATTCATTTAAATGGATATCATGTTGAGACGACAAATATTGAGAATATTGAGTACTTACGTATTACAATAATTACATCGGTTAGAAAATATATATTGAAGAAATTATCTCGCTTTCTCTTCGGCATTTATTATACATGTATTCAAATAATTGAAATAAATGTCATAATAAACCAAAAGTTTACTAATCATTTTATTTTGTCACATGACCGGTTGGGGCATCTTGGATTCATTATGATGTGAAAATTTATTGAAAGTTCGTATAGACATCCATTGAAGAACCAGAAGATTTTTCAATCTAATGAGTTTTCATGTTCTACATGTTCTCAAGGCAAGTTTAATACTAAGCTATCATCAAATAAAATTAGGATTTACTCCTTATCATTTTTAGAACATATGCAAGGTGATATATGTAGACCAATTCATCCACCATGTGAATCATTTAGATATTTTATAGTTTTAATAGATGTATCTATAAGATGGTCACATGTATGCTTATTATCAACTTAAAACCTAGCATTTTCGAGGTTACTTGCTCAAATAATTTGAATACGAGCATAATTTTCAGATTATATCATTAAAACAATTTTTCTTGACAATGCCGATGAATTTACTTATTAAGTATTTAATCATTATTGCATGTCTATTAGAATAAGAGTTGAACAACATGTTGCTCATATTCATAATCACAATGTGAATCATTTAAATATTTTATGGTTTTAATAGATGTATCTATAAGATAGTCACATGTATGCTTATTGTCAACTCGAAACCTAGCGTTTTCGAGGTTACTTGCTCAAATAATTTGATAACGAGCATAATTTTCAGATTATACCATTAAAACAATTCGCCTTAACAATGCTGGTGAATTTACTTTTCAAGTATTTAATGATTATTGAATGTCTATTAGAATAAGAGTTGAACGACTTGTTGCTCATGTTCATAATCAAAATGGTTTAGCAGAATCATTTATCAAAAGCCTTCAATTGATAGCTAGATCATTACTTATGAAAACAAAACTCCCTCTTTATATTTGAGGACATACAATTTTATATGCAGCAACTCATATCGGA